ATGAAAAATATAACATTTACTTTTATTGAACAATCAAATAAATTTAATATTAATATTCAACCTCAATCCATGTGTTTTAATGATTTAAGTGAATTACGTGATCGTGCAAGATTAATTGAATATTCAACAAATAATAATAATAAATATCTTATTGATTCTGAATGTGATATAAATGTACTACGTTCATTTGTTACATTTGTTGAAATAGTTGAAAAAATTTTGAAGAATTTCTTTTCATTAAATATTGCTGGTCATCCATCGATTATTGATTATCTTTCACCAAATAAATCTTTTACATGTATTAATAGTGATTATCAAGAATTAATTAAATTTAGTTTAAAACTTGATGATCTTCTTGATGATTGGGAAATACATTTATGTCAAATGTATGAAAAACATATTGATTTAACTTATTTTTCATATCAACAAATATGGATTATTGAAGATTATTTATATAATCATATTCAACCATTAAAAACAAATCATCCGGGTTATCATTTATTAAAATATATTAATATTGAACCGAATACAATACAAAATGAATATTTACCAGTGAAAAGTATTGATCCAACGGAACGTTTAGAAAATATTGGAAAAATTTTATCAGCACAACGATTAAAAACGGATATAATATTTAAAGAAGAAAATCGTCAAAATAAAAAAGTTTATTTAGTTGAAACATCTGATGAAGGTATTTTACGAGCAATACTTTCAATATTTCAAAATCTTCAAACAACATTTACTGTTAATCATCTATTTTATTGTACAGATGAAACAAGTTGGATGGAAATTCGTGCATTTACTTATCGTTGTTTTTATTCCCAAACATTACATCAATTAATTCGACCAGAATTATTATCATCATCAATTCATGATCAATTTACACGTTTATTAAAACAATTAATTGAACAATATTCTCAACATTATTTTCGTTTAGCTATCATAACAACTATTTCAAATACACATTTACAATTAATTAATTCTTTAAGAACATTACAAATTGTTCAAACTATTCATGATCAAGATATGTTAAATAAAAGCGATTTAAAACAAATTATTCAACAGCTTATTAATGAAAATTGTACTTTAGTTACATCAACAATTAATGGTTTAGGTAAAACATATTTAATCAAAAATGAAATACGTAAGAAAAACAAAAAATATATTAAATTTCCTATTAGAGGAGATATTGATGTTGATAATATTGCAAAACGTTTACTTGATTATGGAGATGAATTAATATCATTAAATGCAGCTTTACATATTGATATTGGAACAATTAATAATGTAAAACAACTCAATGAACTTATTTACTGTCTATTACTTTTTCGAAGTTTTCGTCTTAAACAAATTGCTGTATATGTACCTAGTGATGTACCTATTTATATTGAACTTGATTCATCACCTTCGTCAATAAATGGTCAAGAAAAAATTGTTTTATTTCAATTTATGAATTCTAAACATATTGATTCTATAGATTGGGATGGGTTTGAAATTTACAATCCACCAGCTATTCATTTAGTTGTTAATTATCTTCAAGCAATAAAAGATAAAACAATTCTTGCACGACATATAACTGAAGACAATGTACCTTATTTTGATACATCAACTTGTATTAATTTATTAAAAGAATCATTTTTACAAGATAAAAATCCTGAATTTATAACATGGACACAATTATCAATATTTATATCTGTTTATTATAATTTATTTGCTGGTTTTTCACGTTGTGGTTACTTTCTTATTGATGCATTACCAGATCCTCAATTACGTTTAGATATTCTTCAAAGTCTACTTCAATCATCGAATCAATTTACTTCATTATGTGTTGAAAATGTTCGTAAAAATCAACGGTCTGTTCATAAAAATGAACCAACAATTACATTCAGTGATGCAATTGTTCGTTGGGATAAAACTCAACCATTTACGATTGTTTTTTCTGCAACTGATAATCCAATATTTGTTTATAAAAAACCCACTGATGTTCCATCTACACTTGTTGAAACCTATAAATTATATCATGAAATAATAACACAACAACGAAATTCACAATTAAATGATATTTTTCCTGACTATCATTATTTTACACATACACAATTCTTTTTAAAACTTGTTTTATTATCAAAAAAATATTTCAATAAATCAATTTGTCTTAAATGTTATGGACAATTTGAATATGAACGAATATGTTGTTATAAATGTGAAACAAATGAAACTTTAGTGCGCTCTAATTCTTTACAAACTGAAGATATAATTAAATTTCAAGAATCGATTGCTAGAAAAATTCAAGATGAATATGTCTTAACACCAGATAATTATATTAAAATGTTATTAATTTATTTACGTGTACAAAGTGGACTTCCTGTATTAATAATGGGTGAAACAGGTAATTTAAACTAAAGATCTAAAGTGTAATTGTAATTCTTATCGATATATTATACTCATATGTTTAATTCAGAAAGGGGTAGAGCATTAAAATGACTAGATTTTCTGAGATTCGTTAACAATATCTATTAAATAATAAATTGTTTAAATTTAGGATGTGGTAAAACAGCATTAATACAATTTTTATGTCAAAAAATTCTTGATGATGAAATGGAAATATTTCGTATACATGCAGGTGTTACAAGTGAACAAATAATAAGAAAATTTCATAAATTTTCTCAACGAGCTCATGAATGTCTTCAACAAGATAAACGATTATGGGTTTTTCTTGATGAATTTAATACAACACCAAATATTGATTTAATTAAAGAATTAACTTGTGAACGAACATTACTTGGTAAATCATTGCCAGGTAATATGGTATTATTAGGTGCATGTAATCCTCAACGAAGTAAAGCATATAAAGAAAATATGGATAATCATATTGGTATTAAAAAAGATGCTTATGAAATGCAACGTTTAAAAGATACGTGTGGTATTTCACTTTTATATACAGTTGTATCAATACCAGAAACTATGCTTGAATATATTTGGGATTATGGTTATCTTGATGATGCTATTGAAGTTGAATATATTCGAACAATGTTAAATACATGTGAAGAATTAACGAAAGATAAAATTTGGTTTGAACTTACTGTAAAAATTATATCAAAATCACATGAATTTTTTCGTGATTTGGAAGATATTAGTAGTGTATCATTACGTGATGTGGCACGATTTTGTCGTCTTTATAATTGGTTTCGAAAATCAATTATTGAACGTGAAGGAGATGAAAAATTTTCTAATAATTCATCGACTCTTCTTCGACGTTCAAGTTTAATAGCTCTTCTTCTTTGTTATTATTTTCGTCTCAATTCATCGAAAGATCGAAAAAATTATATAAATCTAATGGAAGAAAATCTTAAAGGTGTACTATCAACTCGATCAAATATTCCAAATTATTTAATGACATTTCTTGATGTGGAACAAAAAAAATTAATTGAACGAATGATATTACCACCTGGAACAGCAAAAAATCGTGCACTTCTAGATAATATATTTGTTTTACTTGTATGTATTGTAAATCGTATTCCTGTTATTATTTGTGGTAAACCAGGTTGTAGTAAAACATCAGCAGTACAAATTGTATTAAGTAATTTAAAAGGAAAGAAATCATCGGATGAATATTTTCAAAAATTACCTGAATTAATAACAGTTTCATATCAAGGTTCACAAAATTGTACATCAGAAAGTATTATTAAAGTATTTCAACGTGCAGATAAATATTTAAATGTTGAATCTGATGCAAATATTTTACCAGTTATTGTTTTCGATGAAATTGGCTTAGCAGAATTATCTCCACATAATCCATTGAAAGTTTTACATAGTAAACTTGAAGTTGAAACATGTCAATATGGTTTTGTTGGTTTATCAAATTGGCGTCTTGATGCATCAAAAATGAATCGTGCTTTATATTTATCATGTCCTGATCCTACAATAGTAGATTTAAAATTAACAGCAAAAACTATATCAGATGCTCTTGTTCCATCTGAAGGTCAAATATATCGAATAGATCCATTAATTATTGAAGCACTTGCTGTTTCTTATCATAAATTATATGAATTCTTTACAATACAACAAGAACAACAGAAATATTCAAATTATTTTGGTTTAAGAGATTTTTATTCATTAATTAAAGGTGTTGTTAATGATTTAGTTAAAATAAACGATGAATATGAAGCATATGAATGTATTCGTCGACAATTAATTATTAATTTTGATGGTATTTATGATGCTTCACAGTTTATGTGGAATCGTTTTTGTGAGCATAAACGTAGTGAACATTTAATTAATCAATATAAATCTCCTACATTTAAACAATTACTTGATCAAAGATTAACATCACGTCAAGGACGTTATTTAATGTTAATTGCTGAAAATGAAAGTGTTATTGATTATGTTGAAAGATATATTATTGTTAAACATCAACCACCATCTGTACGAACATTAATTGGTAGTTGTTTTTCAGGAGATTTAATATCCGGTCGAACTTATACTGAACAATATAATTACCGTGTACTGATGGATATAATTTTGTATGCTGAAACAAATGTAACATTAGTTATGCGTCGTATGGGTCATTTATATGATAATTTATATGATTTATTTAATCAAAATTTTGCAATATCAGGAAAGAAAAAATATTGTCGAATTGCACTCGGTGCTTTATATCATCCACGTTGTCTTGTTAATGAAGATTTTTATTGTGTTGTATTTATACGAAAAGACGATTTAATGAAATGTGATCCACCATTTCTTAATCGTTTTGAAAAACATATTATTAATATGGAATCTTTAGTTCATCAACGTCACTGGTCTATTACAAATAATATTCTTACTGAACTTATGAATTTATTACCAACAAATATAAATAAACATTTTCCACTTTTACAACATTTATTTGTTGATTATAGTAATGATTATATATGTAATTTAGTTATTGATACATTTAATGATTTAAAACTTTCAATTGATGATGAAAATAATACATTAGATATAGTAAATTTTTGTAAAAATAAATTACTTCATACAAGTTCATTTGATTTACCATTAATATTATCATTACAATCAAATCAATGTCATCCACTTATTGATCAATATTATGATATACATACAAATTTAACATTTCAAACTGTTATTAATCAAGCATTAAATGAAATAATATTACCGAATCAAATTATATATACATATACACAAGTTTATCATACAATTAATTGTAATTCCGAGGATATTGATATAATTAAATTAAGTATGTTTAAAACAGAACTTGAATTAACAAATCAAATCAAACAACATTATCAAAAACAAAATCATAAACGTTTATTAATTATACGTGTTGATTATCATCAAGAACATGAACATATTTTATTATTAAAACATATTTTACTTAATTCAAAAATTCAACCAAGTAATCGAAGTGTTTGGTTAATATTTCATCTTCAACGTAATATGCTTAATCAAACAATAAATGAAGTTTTATTTAATGGTTGGTCAACATTAATGATTAATGATTTAAATGAAAATAAATTAATACCAAAAAATATTTTACTTAATCCATCATATATTGATTTGATTACTCATCCATATTTTCTTATATCTGAATGTTTATTAGATGAATTGATTGATCGATGTTTAACTAAATTTCGTTATATTGTTTCACATAAAAATTTAATACCACAAATAAATATTCGACGAAATCAAATTATTGAACATTTAACTACAACTGTTCAGTCTCAATCATTACGTTCAATAATTCAAGAACATCTATTTAAGCTAATTGAAAAAATAACAGTTCCACGATTTTCAGATTGGCGTCAAGATTTATTAACTAATGGTATATTAATTGGTACATGTCGTTCATTTAATGATGCATTACAATCAATTATTTCTATATTTTATGAAAATTATCTTTTATTATTATTTTCACATTTAGAAAAATCTTCATTTATTGATTCATTTTTATTTCTATGTAAAACTCCAACAAATTATTTATTAAATAAAATTTGGTTTGATTGTTTAAAATCAACACTTAAAACAATTGACACAACAATAATAAATGTTGATATTATTGAAATGCCATTATTTTTTAATTTACATTTACCATGTGCAAAAACTGAATATGAAACAATACGTTTAATTCGTCAAACAATTTCACAACGTCGTGATGATAATAATATGAATGAAGAAGATTTAATTCATTTTGCTATTAAACAATTACGTACAAAAAGTATATATGGTTCAAATATTGATACAATTTTAGATGATAATAATTTATTTCAATATTATTATTATGATCAATTAATACTTGCACAAGATGAAGCAAAAATTTATCAATTATCTTCACCATTTATTCAATGTTTAATTATGTCAAACTCAATACGATCTATAAATGATCGATTAAAACATTTACTTATAGATTATAATGAACTATTTGATATATTAAGATTATTTGAAATTAGTACAAAATTAATTAATGAAAATGATTTTCTTAATAAATTATTTCATCAACAATTTCTTATATTAAATAATAATGATTCAACATTAATTAAAAATGATAGTACATTTTATAAACTTGTTTTAACAAATGAAGATTTTTACTTAATTTCACCAAAATCAGAAGTATCTACTGATGATATATTTTCATGCGAAGGTGATCCATTTATTGAAGTTAGTTTAATGAATTTAATTGAACTTCTTGTTTCTCAATCTGTTATTGATCATGTTGATAATATTGAACAATTAACAGTAACATATAGTCTTGTTGCTCAAAGTATACTTAACTTACGAAATTATTCAGTTAATAATCTTGAAAAATTACGTTCATTTATAAGTCTTATTCGTTGTATAACAACGCTTATATCAACTAATAAAGCATTGGATGTATTTAAACAAGCATGCTGTGATGCTTCATTTAATGCAACATTTGAAAAATGTGATGATATACATAGCTTTATCAATCGTTTACAAGAAATTATAAGTGAAAATGAACCAAATACAAATGAAATAGTTATTCAACGAACATTACTAAAACTTGAAAGTGAATTTTTAAAAAATTGGCTTGTTGATCATGGTGATGAATATTTAAATATAATTACACTAATGAGTAAATCTGATAATAATCTTTGGCAATATTCAGCTAAAATTTTTACTTATATCGATCGAAAACTTCAATTATTACCAATGATTAAAGATTTTAATGGACAATTACCATCAATTGAAGATTATCTAGAACTTAATGAAAATTTACAAGAATTAACAAATCAATATCAACAATTCGATGAACATTTACGACAATTAAATGATTCGTCAAGAAAAATTGAACATATTATGGTAACTCGTATTCATATGCATCTTATTTTAACTATGAATAATAAAGAAATTATTGAAGATATTCTTGAAAAACATTTTGTTCAATTTGAAGAAAATCTACGTGAAATACAAAATACACAAAAAAATTATGGTACAACATTAATTAGTTTAATTTCATGGTTAAAATATTATTCACAACTTTATGCTTATATACTTATTAATGATAGTCATCATACAATATTAGAAGATATTGATAAATTACTTACACGTGATGATTTTCTATTTTGTTCAACAATTAAATTGTTTATTATTAAACAATTATGTCAAATGTCAAATATTACATTAGATAATTTACGTGATATTATTTTTAATCGAAATGTTACTTGGATGAAACCAATGCTTGCATTATTTAGTGGTCAAAAAACACAAGAAGCTCGAAAATTACTTATTTTACCAACACCTTTATTTGAATGTCGTGAAGAATTTCTTCGAGTTGATAATATTCTTACACATAATGTTGATATAAAGAAAATTCGAGAATTAATTACTCAATGTAAAACAAATCAAAATACATTTTATTGTTTTATTATTTGGTTTATTCATTATTATACACAATTTTATATCAATGAAAATGCTCCAGTAAATAGTTATTATCAACAATTAATTGAAAAAGATCTTAGTAAAGAAATCATTGATTGTTTTGAACGTATTGGATATAAATTACTTGTTTTCTTATGTACAAATTTTAATAATTTAACTTATTTTCGTTTACATTCAACTATGACAAATGATGATGTTCATCAACGTTTAGTTGTATTGAATATTATTGCTTTATTACTTTCATTAAAAACTTCACAATATACATCTCATCTAAGTAGTCTTCTATTTGATGGAAATTTGAAGATGCCAGAAAATTATACCGAACATCTACAATCATCAGTTTGTTTACCTGGACTTTTATCAAGTAGTCCAATTATTACACAAATGATTGATGTACGTACAACTGTAAAAGAACGTTTAGATCAAGGTCAAATACATGAACCAGGAAAATTTGTTTATCGTTGTTCAGAAGATTGTTTATGGATGTATTTTTTTATTAATTGTGGTGTACCTGTTGATCATAGTCAATGTCCATTATGTAGAAGGGATATTGGTGCAGCACAATATGGTATTCTTATTGAACGTAATCCTCCTCAAATTCGCCTAACTATCGACGAAGGTTTTCAATTTATTAATAATCATATTGAACAATATAATAAAATTCCTCGATATGGTTATCATAATTTAACACCAGCTATTCAAAGTAATCAAAATGAAAAACCTGATCATTTAAATCGATCAATTTCATATCGTTTTATGCATATGATAACACATGCAACATTACTTTTTCTCGATGAATTATCTCTTTTAACAAATTTCGGACTCGTAAATCCTTTACATTTTAAAGAACATTTTGAAAAAGATTATTCACTTTTACATCAACAAACAACCGATAATGAACAATGTTATATATGGTTATATAAATTAATCAATCATATGTTAAATAAAGATTTTGTACTTAGAGGTTTTATGAACACAAACGACAAAGTTATACAATTAGAAAAAGTTCTTGAAGAAAAACTTATTTTTAATCATATTGATTCTATTGCTAATGAAATAAATCAATATAAAATTGCATATGCTGAATATATTCGAGAGCAAAATACTGAAACAATATTTATTGATTTTATTGATGAAATATTTCAAGATGAAACGAAATATCCGTTATTAAATTTTTTTAATATTACAAATATTTATACATCAAATCCTATTAATGAATTTCGTATAAGACTTCAAACAATACCTTATGGTGATACAACTTATCCCGTAACAACATTTCTTATGAAACGATTAAATGATTATACGAATATTCAATATCTTTATTCTATTGTTCAATTTACAAATTATCTTATTGAAAAATTTAATCATCGTATTAAACGTAATGATGCAGCAGAAACATCAATTTCATATTATTTAACACATGGTTCAGATTGTGAAATCATATCTCAACTCTATCAAGAATTTCTTCATGCTTGGTATAAACTTAATTTTGATGAAGTACGTTATGGTTGTCAAACAGCAAAATTTGAATTATCATCATCATCTGAAGAAGATTTTGCTACGAATACAAAAATTGCTATGGTATTATTAAATACAACAAAAGATGATAGTAGTATATTATTAGCCGGATGTTTACGAACCATAGGTGAATTACAAAATGAAATCGTTCATTTCTTTCATAATAGAATAATAAATGATGCTGAAACTAGTCGTTATCGAGAAAACGTCATACCAATTCAATCGATTCGACCTGAACATATTCTTCATCTTGATGAAAATATAATAAGTAGAAAATTAATAACTGATGGATTTACAATAAATTATCATTATGGTAAAAGTAAAGATATTATTTATGATTATGAAGAAATTGAGTTGACTTTAAGAAATATGATTGGTTGTTTACCATTAATCGATACGGAAAAATTACGTTTTCTTAATTATCAATTTGAACTTTATAGTGAAAATACATCGTTAATAAATGATGTTCGTGCACGTATAAAACAAGAATTTTTAAAAGAAAATGAGAGAATAAAATTAAAAAACTTAATTAATGGTATGCAAAATGATGATATGCTTCATTATTTTGGTTCTCTTGATTATGTATTTACATATTTACGTAATATTGATGATGAAATAACAAATGAAGCAATAACAATACAATTATTTGTTGAAAAATATATACGTTCAAGTGCTTGTCTTAATGATAATGTTCTTCAACGTCCACCATTTGCAACAATTCATCTTAAATATATTATTGATCTATATGAATTAATTGAAGAAAGTGTATTTGATCAAGTTCTACGTCATTATATAAAACAAAATTTAACTGAAGAATCATTTTCAATTGATCAACGAAAAACTTTAACTAAACAATTTAGTGATATGACATATAGAAAGCCAAATATTTCAATTTCACTTCAAAATATTCATGTATGGATTGGTATACTAAAACGTTTAATGGTACGTGTTTTATCCAATGTTAATGTTAGTCTTGATGTTCCTATACAAATTTATCTTGAACGAACTGATCTATGGACTGGTAATATAACCGAAGCTGATATACAAACATTTGAAGTTCATGATGAAATACTCTTACAACATACTTATGTTATTTTGAAAGGTTTAGAAAATGAACAAGATAAATCCTTATCAACTAATGATAAATGTACAAATATTGAACAACCAACAATACTTAAAAATGTATTGCAAACTTCTGATTCACAATTATTAAAAGCAAAGACATGGCATAATGATAGTATTAGTAATGCAACTACGATGACAAGAGTTATTAAAAGTGAGAAAAATACTGGAAAGAAGATGCGTGTCTAATTTTTTTTATATATTTTATTGTATTTTTTTTTGTTTTGTTATTATTTTGAAAAATAAACAAGAAGAAAGAAAACTTATACTATAACATTCTCAATATGTGAGAACAAATTAATCACGAAGAAAATTCTTAGGTTATTTATTTATCACAATTAAAGAATAAGTGTAGTTAACATAATTGAAAGTATAGCAGCAACAAGGATATGTATAGCAAGTAGAACATTTTTTAGTTTTTCTTCAAATGATGTTTCTTGTTCATTAGTAAGACGCACTGATGTTGTTTTTGGTGTCATTGAATTTTCTACTAGATCTGCAATTGTTGTATTTGACGAATTAAGATTTGTATAACCTGATTCATTGTTTTTCTTTCGATAATAAGATTGAATAATTTGAAATATAGTAAAGATGAATACAATCCAACCTAACCATATTATTAAAATAATTCGACCTCGATTATCTTTAAATATAGGAAAATAAGTAGCAAGAAAAAGTGTTGCATTCGAGAGTATTAATGATGAAAAACCAACAAATGTATGTATAAAATTAAATATAAAACGATAACGACTATCTGGTTCACAACGAAATAATGCAATAAAAGGTTGGAAGAATGCTAAACCTATCATAATTACACCTGTAATAGAATGAGCAAAAGCTCGTGTTAGACCTAGATCAATCCATAAGCCTTGACGGAAGACGAAAATAAATAGAAAACCAAGCACGGTAAGAATTGTAGCAATACTCATAAGAAATCGATGAGCAGCAAACCATGCTGCTTTACCACAAATTAAAGTATGTAACCAAGCATTTTTAAAATAACGTGAAATAAGTACACCTGTTGAAACAATTAATATCCATGTAAAAATCATAATAATTCCATGAGCTCGTGCAAAAGTTAAATCCACAGCAACATTAGGTATTTTATAAAGAATAGTTTCCTTTTCATTTAACTGAACAAAACCAGATTGAGTTGTACGTGAATCTTTAGCATGTCGTATTGGATCATCTAAGATAGACATTGATTAATTATTAAATTTTGTATCAATAGAAAAATGACTTACGATATTCATCTAGGAATCCAACTGCGAATATAGGATAATATTTATTTGATTGAGAAAGTGGTTTTACTTCTTGAAGTTGTCCTGATGTTTGGCTTGTAAAATTGGATAAACTGAACCGGCATATTACAATACCTTCGTTGAATTCTTGTTTGCCCGGTGTAAGTACACCACCGTCTTCTGATCCAGCAGGTTCAGGTTCTTCATGTTTATTAGGATTTACATAACGATTTATAACAATTGTATCATCAGCATATCGTTTACACATAAATACATGAGTTCCACCCTACAAAAGAGAATTTATTCGATGTATACATACAAATATTTAAACTATTTGATATTATCTATTATATAGTATTTAGCAAATAAACCCACTGAAAATTTATTATTGATGTTAAATTTAAAAAAGAACTTCTCGTAAAATATAAGAATTATTTTTTCTTAATTACCATAGAACGATTTATATTAAGACCTATAGCAGCCCATTGTGATGGTTTCAAATTTTTAATAGTCATAAGAACATTTGTAACATTGATTCCACTAGTGAATGTCCATGTTACATTAATAGCAACTTCAGCCGTAGGTGAAGCAGTTATCGTTGTGTTCTGGGAACGCGAAGTAGTAGTTATGGTTGTTGTTGGTTGTGTAGTAGTATTAGTAGTAATTGTCGGAGGTGTATTTGATGTAGAATCATTTTCATCAATAAATGATGAATTATTCGGCACCTATAAGAAATCAATTTTGTATTGATATATGTTTGTTGCCATTCGAGTAATAAATGCTATATCTGACTTATATTTTTTTTGTAACAAATAGAATTTGAAAATAATAGTTTTAAAGCTGATTATTTACTTACTCGTGGAGTTAAAGTAATATCATAGCAGTTAATATAAATTGTTTTTTCATTCTCAATAATTATTGCTCTAAATAAAATCATATATATAGGTATATAAAATTTAATATAAGATTTTATACTTGATTCTAACATTTCCAACAACTCTAGGTGAAGCTTGCCAAATTGCATCAATATTTGTTTTTCCTATTTCAGAATAATAAGCAACACCATCACAAATATTACTTTCAGCTAATTCATCAGTTGTTTTCCAACTACCAACATTGAGATGCTTTTCATCTTGAGCTAATAAATGAATACCGATGAATTTTGTATCTGATATTGTACTATTAACTTTAACTATAAATAAGACGAAGAACCATACATCATTTCAGTATTTATTATATAAACTCACTGTGAATAGGTTCATCAACTGTATAACTAAGTGTCGATGAGGTAATAGAAAATTTCGATGAACAAGTTGCTGGATCTGCTTTATATAATTGAAGTATTATTTCATTACAGATATTAGAAGAGGTTTTTTCCGGGAGGCTTTTTCCCTCATAAAATAATGAGAATATAATCGAAAATATGATGACAATTTTCATCTAAAAAATAAAGTATATCTCTATTTGATTTTATCATACTGAATGATGATAATGATATAAAAGAAATGTAATCTTGTCGTACATATCATTTCTGTGATATATATATGCATGCCCTTCATTTTTTCACATTTGGTTTTGTTCACATAGATATTCTTCTTTCTTTCTTCTTCTTATGTAAAGAATGTTTATAAACCCTTTGAATTTCTTATATATTTTGTCCTGAAATATCTCAATCTTTTTTTTGATAACTACATTCTTTATGAAACAATAGAAAATATAATAACTGTATTATGGGAATAGTTTTACAATAGATAAAAATTACGAAATACCTTGTTGTCTTCTCATTGTTTATACTTTAGAAAGAACCTACTTATAAGTGTGACATGCATTCTGAGATTACAGTTGTAAATATATACAAAATGAATCTATTATCTTTTTTATCAGTGTGCTTAGTCACGATGATGATGTAGTCACTTAGACAATAAAACATGATAAGTTTAGACACACCGACATTACGAACGCAAGTACGCTTTTAAAAACTATGACTTTGTACTTTTTCTCAAAAATCTCAAAAAGTACAAGTAGCTATTGTCATAACCTGAAAAATGTATATGATTGAGTAAGAATCATGTTTTATAGCTTTTTATAAATGAAAGGTTTATTCTTTGTCTTTCTTTTTTATATTCCTTCATGCTAATATTAGTTTTCACTCGTTTATTAAGTCATTTCTTATTCAAAATCGATAACTTCTGCTGATAACCTTCGACTTCTTATTGGCTACCGGAATGACCATTTGAAATATAAATGTCAGGAGTAACGAATATTACTTTTCCCAATAGATTTCAAAAACTATCTATTATAATACATAATTGATTTTATATCTTAGTTTGATCTAAACCTAATATAACTAATCAAGTCTATTATAGATTTATATAGTTTCTAATGATTTTTATTATTTTAACAATGACAAGAATTTTTATTAATGATAATATTCTAGAAAATGTTATTAGGAAAAATATGAGGAAATTCTCAAAAACTACTCCTTTAGTGAATAAAGACGAATCATTTGTTTGTATCCTTGTATTTGTTAATTATAGAAACGAGTTATTGTTTAACAACGATTGGATCTTTTTTGATATCACTAATCGATAGAGGCAGACATAGAAGGCTAATGTCATTCTTTTCATCATCTTAGTTACAATAATTATAAAAAAATACGATAAGAAGTAAAATTTCATATGAAATAAAATCAGATCAAAATTTTTTTTATATGAGACGTTTTTATTCAGGAAGTTATACATCTTTACCCAACCGAAACATCAAGTCTAAAAACATTTTTCTTTTTGTCATATCTAGAAATCTTTCAATAAAGATCTATGGCAAAGTAAAAAATAAAATAGAATATTTATTTCTTAATCCCGTGTAATATTTAATTCACGATAATTCGGTGCTTGTGGAATAAATTTAAGTAATGGTGCTAAAATAAGTGTTCCTATAGTTAATGAACTTGTTAAAAAAATATATAGAATAAATAGACAACGATCAAGAACTAATGCAACATTTTGCCAATCACGTACAATAATATCTTCTTCATGTGTTTCAGTTGGACGTAAAATAAGACGATTAAGTTCTGTAAGAAGACGTTGACATTCACCTAAAGATTGTGGTGATGTTTGAAGATTTGATACTGATGATGAATCGGAATATAAATTATTTTCATTTATTGTTGTTGATTGAAATGTATGCGATGATTGTTGTTGACTACTTGCTAATAGATCACTTTCATTTAAAAAAATTGCATTATATATTGTTGTTGTACGACGTGGAATTTTAACGGAGGATTGTAGAGGATCTTTTTGATTATCTGATTTTGATCCACGATGTAATTTAACACATAAAAAAGGTGCAAGATAATAAAATATTATACGACGTAATCGTGTTGGAACTGGTTTTAACGATGAACCGTATAAATGAACATTAAGTACAATAACAGCTAATAAAACTGATAGACTAGTTAAACCCATAACTAATGTAAAATAAATACCTAGAATAACAAAAAATAAAAGTCTCATTTCTTTTTATCAAAAAATATATATTTACTAATTAATGGAATATATTCACTTGTTGCTGGCATTGATTCAGCAATTAATAACATAAAAACTGAAAAAGCAAGAAGAACTGTTAAACCTAATGAGACTTTTTCACCTGATTCAGTTGGTAAATAAAATGTTAAACATGTTAATATTGAAAGCATAATACAAGGTATAATAACATTATACGTATAATATAATGTTCGACGTCGAATATGGAAATAAAATTTTAAATCAAAATATGATTCATCACAACATGGATATGTTAATCTTGATAAAACAGTCCATGACGATAATAATTTCCATTCACCTATTATATTTAAAAATTGGAAGAAAATATTCTTTTAATTATAAAATAACCTCGTATATCACATGTCAATGGGCGTTACTAAGATGTAAATCGTCAAAAAAAAAAGAATAATTTCTAGTTTTTCTTATTAATTAACTGACAATGTTGCCTGACATGACTTTGCCCTCATAGCTTGTTCTTAAAAACTATTTATAGAATATTCGGAGACACAACTAGGTTAGTAAATCAAAATAGGAACCTATTTAAACATTATACATAGTTGTACAATAAAAATCTGATTTACCATTATCAACATAATTTAACATGTCAACATTTTCTGAACGATTTGTTAAGATAACTTGAGTAGAATCATATGTCCATGAACCAAATTTCAAAAAACATAATTGATCATCAAATGGAAACCTGTTGTTTTGTTTTAAAATAAAATAAAAGTTTAGTTTTTTTCTCTATAAAAATAAGACTTTACCAAGTTATACCAATTTTACAAGTGGATCGAAATTTAACAATAGGCGGCCAAAATACAGTTCCATCATAACTAATCATAGCTAATGATTGCATATATCCTTGGGTATAATCATCAGCTGAATTATATAAAACAATATCAGGTAACCAAAGATAACGACAAGGTATACGTATTTTTTTCAAACCACCAAATTCTGAAGGAGTCCATTTAAGAAATTCATCATTCCATTCCTTTTATTGCAAAAAAAGATTATAATTTAAAATATTTGAAATATAATCTTACTTGATCAAGCCAAATATTCGTAGTCATGATTTGATTACGTTCATCCTAGATATATAAATGGAAAATATGATATTACAGTTTCTATTGTTTCTTACAATATCCATAATTTGTGTTAAAGTTATGCCTAATTTAACAACTACGGCATCAGATGCTTTTTTTGTCGGCCTAGTTGCTTTTTCATATCCATTCATAAGTGTATAAAACAGACGTTGTTCATCGGGCATATTAGCGGTAATCTGACGTCTTCCACCGATCAATAATGATGATGATCGAGGTGGAGCTGTGATTGTTACAGCATCAACTGAATTACATTTCCGACAACGTGTAAATGAATATAAAACACTAACAAATATTAAATTTAAAATCGATGGATCATTATATCCATGAAAAACCAATTTTACAGGATACATAAAATTAAATAATTGATAAATATCGTTTTTTTAATATCGTTCATAGTCTTTAGCAATAATTTCGTACAATTCAATAACATAAATAACGATCAGATTAATAATAATTTTGAGAATTTACTTCAGTAAATGGTATAATCATTTATTAACACCCTAAAAAATGAATAGTTTTCAAATATGAAGATTGAGAATAGCGAGAAGAAAAAAAACTGCTTTTATCTCGAATAGTTAGACCATGTTAATCAGCTTTCCCTTTTATTTCCAATAAATCGTTTGAGAAAAATAGCACGAATGAGAGATGCTTAAGTAGTCTATCGCTTAGTGCATTAACGGAACTACTTTATTGTTTAATCAGTCAAACAGTTACATGTATGTGGAACGAATGTTAATGTCCTGCGGGAACAACGTCTTTCGTTTCTTAGAAAAGAAAGCTTTGTTCTCATTCCTATACGACATATAAGAGTTATTACTCATTCTATATTGTTAATATATCAGTAACATATCCTGTACTCTTCGAACTATTTTTATTTTGCGTTAATATGGCTACTTAAATATTCACTGTGAAATTCGCGAAAATATTGAAATGAGGTTTACCGAAATAGGCATGCTCTGACATACATGTTCATTACATTACTGATGTTAATGACACTAATATTAATCGAGAGCACTAACATTCTGATATTAACTCGTAGTGACACACTGAGATACAACTTTGAAGTTGATTGAGAGCTCTAATGCACTAGTAATGATTACCAGTGACACATGCAGACATTGTCTGCGCCAGACTATTCATCTTTTTAATCCATTAGTTCTAATTATCAGCATGAAAATATAGAATAAATCTGCCTACACATAAAAAACAATTTATATCTGGTTTTGAACGGGCATTCAAATCTTTATGCCTAAAGTTTATACTCAATAAATCTCAATATAAATACGCTAGAAATTTAACAATCGTACTGTTACTATCACAAGGAATATGAGTATTAATGTCAGAAATGTTTAATGAACAAACCATGTTACACAGTACGACAAGATTTGAAATAGAAATAAAACTATTACGTACTCATATTTTAATACGTCTAAAGGTGAAAGAAGAAGTTTTACTAGAATGTCAACTCATTCTTGCAGAATAAAAGATATCCCTTAAAAAAAATTTCCATGAAAAGAAACTTTATTTCTTGATAATTATCAACCTTAAAAAGGATAAACTACGCATCTTTTATATTAAGATATATCATTTACTCATCTAACTGGAAAATTGAGCATATTCTACAAAAACCAGAAGTCGGAAGAAATCGATCGTACATGACATAAACTTAATAAAGTACTACCTGATTAGTTTCGTTTTATTTCATCAAGATATTACATACGATATGAACACGCACAAGCTAACCAGGAGAAAAATTGTTCTCCCAAGTGAGTATTAAAAAATATTTTCTTTTCTTTTCTCTTCTTCTCCTTCTTTCTTTTTACTTCATTTGTTATCTATATTACTATACTGAACATTCTTTTTTATATTATAACTATTTTTTATCGTTCTTGTCAACTTACATTATATTTTGTATTTCGTAGTTGTCATAATATTTTCATAATCGATGAAAGAAGAAACAGAGAATCGTTTGTTGACAATTGATTAAATTAAAAGAGAAGAGGAAATACTTGATTGGCTAATCTAATTATTATTAGTTGTTAATATTCTACTTGGATAAAGAAAAAATAATGCTAATATAGATGATCAAATCTTCGTTTATAGATAGAAATAGGATGACATTTCGAAAATATAAATTATCATTCAGATCACATAATAAAAGAAACAATTAACGTATTTTGGAATGATTATGTGCTATATTATTGATGCTTCAATAGAAAAAAAAAAGAACTTTAATTTAATTATTAATCGGATTTATCAAGTTTCTCTTAGTTATTTATTATGATAAAATGTAGATTCAAAATAACAAAAAGACTTTGGGTACATTTTCTAACAAGATGACTCATATACATATCGATTGAAAATGTGAGCTGATATTTTTATTGAATTAGGATTATTTTTCATATCTATTTGTATCATTACTCTAAAATTATGATCCCGACATTATTTATTGATCAGAATCTATTGTAAACTTAAAATTTTAACTATCTTAATAAAATAGTTCGAATAAAAAATCTATCTTTCGACATTATTTCAGTTTTAACGAACTATAGGCACATCAGATTCAGAGCTCTCAATTATTTTTGAGAGTGCTGGAGGCTAATAATTTTTCGCAAACAGTTATTTTTATCAAAGTTTTCAATCTGTACTCAAATATAGTTTTTTATCAGGATTCACGCATGAATATATGCTTCTATTTGTGATCTCAGAAAATACTTTTTACACTTAAATTCTATCATACGATTGAACAGTGATGATTGTATGATAGCACTTAAAAAAACTTAAGTGAATTTATTTATTCATCTTTACACTATCTGCTTAATTAGATTTGACAGTCAGCATACACTACCTACTAAATTTGATAAATAGTCTACATTGTCTATATGACTCGACAGACAATCTATATTACGTACCGGATCAGACAGTCTCTATTATATACTAGATTTAGCTGATGTTTTGCGCTTTTTGACAGCTTTGCCAGAAGTCTGATCACCTCATTGAGTTACAACATTGTACACATTCGTCAGTATAAGCATATCTATATTCTGCTGAAATGATTAAAGTCTGAACATATTATTTAAGAAGTATTAGACTTTATTTGCGTCTATACTTTTAAATGGATGATTATTATATAGTTATGTCTAAGAATAGATTCTATCTATTGATATAATTCATTAACAAAACGATATTTTTATATTTTGTCAGTCAAGAAGATTTTTTCAAGGTTTTTTTTGCCATACAAACCATGTATTAAATAAATAGTTGTTTCCTGGTTATTATCTACTCAGTATTTTAGTAGAAAAATAATCGTTATTGTTGCTGTTACAAAAATCTCTTTGTACTATTTAGGAAAGCTCTGTTTACGTTCAACCTAATAACATATTATCAAATATATAATGAAAAAGAGTACTAGAACTAACGAAAAGTTTATTTTGACATGATCACACAGCCTAGATGAGTATCAACATATTGAATTCTATATCCTAAAAAGTTCTACTACATCTATTGTTTTATTAATATATATATATGTTCTAATTAATGTATTATAAATTCACATTTTCAAGTTATATATCAAAGCCTTATTAGTCAAAACAAGCTTATTGAAATTAAGAATTCATTTGATACTTAAAATCAATTGATATGAACGTTTTTATTCCAGGACGAAAATAGACTCACGAGAGAGAATGACCGCTCGCGCCACTCACACTCACACACACAATTCACAGCACCAGCAGCACACATATAAGCAGAAAAGAAAAGAAAGTGAAAGTAAAAGAAAATGATGACAGAGATGAAATAGTTTGGTCAATCAAAAAAGAAAAAAAAAGGAACACAAGAGATTCGAGAATGATAAGAGGGAACAAAAAAAAACCACCGGCACGTTGAACGAAAAAAAAACCTTCTTCTTACATGAGTAGAGAAAAAGACAAAATCACAGAGAGAAAAAAATAAGCACGACCAGCGTCATCTTTTTTTTTATATAGTATATGTCGAATCTAACTAGAACAAATCGTACAAGAATTTACCTAATGCAATGAAAACATAGAGATGTCTGTTTGACAGAGAAAAAAAAAGGAATAGAAGAAGAAGAAGTAGAAGAAAATGAAATATCTCACCGCACAGCCACATTCTCTCCTCACATACTCACACACACGAACTTGAAAGTTTAATTTTCCCTCCTCTCTCTCTGTTTTTTGGTTTTTTGTTTATTTTATATATATATGTATATATCATGAAAAATATGTTCAATTATTTTTGATCTTTCGAATTTCTTTGGTTGCCCATGTTGCTAATGTTTTCGTTTTCATTACTTTTGATCGTTTTCCTTCAGCGATTAATTTTTCAATTGTATCTCTTTCAACATATTGTATCATTTGTTGTCCATATGATGTAACAAGATCACCAATAAGACCAATAGCTGAACCAACTATTGAATCAGATTTATTTGGATCACGTGCTATTGTTTCGATAAATTGCACTATAAATGGTAATTGACCTGTAACTAATTGTAATTCAGCAAGTGTTACTGAAGAATCACCGGCGGATGTTGCTGAATTACGTAGGCCTTGAATAATACCAGTATATGCAGATAAACAACCTTCACGTAATTCATTAAGATAATCAATCATATCATAATCATTTTTAGCAACTTGTGCACGACATGCTTGATTAAGTGTATTTAATACATGTTCAAGATATTTTTTAAAATAACTACCAATTGCTAAAGCTATATCACCAAATGTACTTAGAATTTGAGGTTTAACTGAACGATGTAGTTTATCATCCTAAAATAAATGAAGATATTAAAAAAAGAAAATTTATTTTATTAACTTACACCAAGACAAGTAAGTAGATGAGTCATTATTAGATCACAATATGGTGCTAATTTATCAAGTAATGAACGACTTAAATCTCCAACAACACCAACAGCAGCTGCACATATTTGATATTCAGCATGATTATTTAATGCTTCATAGATAAATGGAAGAACATGATCAATATATTTGAGAAAATTTATTCCCAACACTATAAAAAAATGAAAAGATTATAATAACATAGAATGACAATAATAATAACAAACCTTCAACAAGAGTACCAATTGCAACAAGTGCATCTTCTTGTACAGCACTTGCTTTACCACTATTTGTTTTCAACATTTGTAATAAAGCTTGCATAATTGGATCCGATATAAGTGGAGCATCATTTGGATGCATTTTTCGAAGTACACTCTAAAATTTCCAGAAAAAAAAACATAAATAATTCTACTAATCAATATATTTTTATGACACTCAAAAATTCTGTAATTATGACTAATATATATTCGATTCGAATTTTATTTTTCTCTTACTTGAAGTGTTGCACAAAGTAATGATTGAAGATCACTAATTTGTACTCTATCATTAGGATTAGCTGTATGACTTTCAACTGATATAACACGATTTAATCGATCAAGTACAGTTACAGTTGTTTTTTGAACAGTGACATAACAATCCTAAAATAAAGAGAAAATAGAAAAAATATATTTTTTTTTAAAATAATTCATACTTTTGGACTATGACGAATCATTTCCATTAATGCTTCATAAGCTGCATTACGTAAATTGGATTGATTACCATCAGGTCTATAATATTATATAAGAATTACAAAATTCTATAAATCTTAATTTATATTTATACCTATCAGTTGATTCAATAAGTTTTTTAACAATTTCATCAAAAAATGGTGATAATAAATAAGTATTTGGTGTATCATCATCATCTGAACATTCTGCATGTTCGTAAGCAGCACGAGCTAAACTTGAAAATGACTATATATAAATAAAAGAAAGAAAAAATTCATTTTTATTCTTTTTTTCTATTCGAAAATTTATTATCATACCCAACAAATATTTGTTGCTACACGTGGAACATCTCCTAAACCATTAACAAGTGCACTTCCAATAGCTCGAAGTAATTCATCATTCATAACAGCTTGGGAAACAAATTCAAATATACGTCCAATTGTCCATGCTGTTGTATCACGGACAGCAACATTTGGATCACGTAATAATTCAATTAAAAATGGTACGGCTTGTTCAGCAATTGGTTTTATACTTGCAACATCAGGTCCTTCTAACATTGAACCAAATGCCATAACAGCTGCTTCACGATGTTGCCAATTAGTATGTTTAATATTTTCACTTACGAACGGAAATACATATTGAATTATTGTATTTTCTGCACAATTAGCTAATAACATAAGACAAACACCTGCAGCTTTACATGGATTCCAATCATCATCATCATCTGTTTCTTCTTGCATAGTTAATCGTTGTAATAATACAGGTACTAAATATGGTAATGCACCGCGTGCATAATAACGACTTGTTCGTTCCGGTTGACGATTTTGTTCTTGTGCCTTGAAATAAAAAGTAAAATAAAATATATTTGATTTTAAATCTTTACTTCTTGTTGAAGTAGTTGTAATTCATATTCTTCATCACAAACATTCGACCAAAATTCAATACCTTGTAAAGCTATTTCATCATGTGAAGATTTCATTGCATCCATAGTAATCTAAAAGGGAAAAATATAATTTTGCAAATATAAAATTAATAATTATTTACAGCAAATAAAGCAGGACCCATATAATATTCCATATAATCATAATATAATGTGAGAATTTTAACGAGATTCTGTAAAGCTGCTACTTGAATCTAAATAGAAAAAACTTATGATTAGAATAAAAAGAAAATCGTTGGTTATATTACTTTTAAATTCGTTGATTGTGTGGCTTCACATACAACTTGCATAATATAATGTCGTTCACTCTAATAGAAATAAAAACAAATTGAATTTTTTTTAATTTGATTTCAATAAGAATATTTTACATCATTTTGAAAATTATTCTTTGTAAATTCCAATGAATTAAGCATAGCTGTTGTAGCAGCAAGTCGAACATTATCATTTGTTTCTTCTTTACGCATACCATATACAAGTGCAGTTAAAATAACATTACTTTGAGGTACAAGTACATTTGACTCCTAAATAAAACAGAAAAAAAATAGAAACAAATATTTTATTTTATATTCAAAACATACAATATCTTGACATATATAACCGAGTGCTTCCAAACTCGCTTCGCGAACATTATCAGGTCTACCAACAGTAGTCACATTGGCGACAAGTCGTTCTATTTATATTTATTTGATAGAAATTTGTTTTAATATAATTAAAATCATATTTACCAATTAAATCTCGCCATTGACCTCGTGGTAATTCAGCACAAGCTATATAACCAACACATTGGGCTGCTTGCGATGGTTTAGACGTTTCAGTACCGAGAGTATTGAAACACTGAATAATAATAAATCGAATTATTAGAATAAATTACAAAATAAAATCTTACGTTATTTTTCACATGAGCTCTAACATCATCCGGTATACGAAGCCATCGTTCTTGACAAGCTTTTATATCATCTCGTGAATAAAGTGCGTTTTTAAGTTGTAGTGCTAAATAAGAAATATAAATATTTCAATCTTTATTTATTCTTTTATTTACCTGCTTGTGTACGTGCTGTTGGATTATTTGTGGCGGTATTTAAAATATCGGAAAGTTGTTTCAAAAGTTCAGGCTAAAATGTAAAAATAAAATTTGATTTTAGTTTTTTTCTTTAATTATTAAACATACTAAATTTTGTTCAGCTGCTTTAGCAAGAAAATTTCGGGCATTCTCCAAATCGTTTTGTGCTAAAAAAAATTCATATAGATTTTGTAATAGAAATCTAGAAACCTACATCCAGTGACTGTTCGCTCGAGGATATTGATGAGCTCTTGTGCGGCCATCGCACTTATTTAATTAAAAAAGGAAAATATTAAAAGTCAATCTAGAAACATAAGGATTTAGATGAAACAATTGTTTCTATTTTAACATGCTCTCTTTATTTATCTTTATTCTTTTTTTTTTTCTCTCTCATATTAAAATGAGCAAAACAATCATGTTCTTTTTTTTATTTTTAATTAAGCAAGAAGAGCAGCGGCTGTTGATGATTCGTATTTCCATGTTGGTGGTAGAACATTTTTGGTTTTATAATATCGTGCCAAACGATGAATACGACTTTCAACAAGAATTAAACGAAATTTGGAATCTTTGTCTTTACGATTACGTTCCAAATGTTTACGAATAGCAACAGCTTTCTTAATTAAATGATGTAAATCTTCTGGTTTGCTTGGTGCAAGACCTTTTGCTTTCATAATACGTAAAATTTTACTTCCAGTAACAAAACGTGTTTGTGCAACACCGTGTGAATCACGAAGAATGACACCTATAATATGAAATTTTCATTTTTCTTTCTTTCAAAACTAACCAATTGATTTCTTACCGATTTGTGATGGTGTTAAACCTTTTTTAGCTAATTTGCAAATTTGATCAACAACATCTTCGGATGTTAATTTCAACCACTAATTAGATATCAAGAATAATATAAATTTTACTTTTCGAGAGAAACTTACTGATGGAACAGTTCGTTTGTAAGGTAAAGCAGAATCTGAAATACCTTTGCTAGATAAAAAAAATAAAATTTAAACTCAAGAATAAATAAAGGAAATATCCTATATACCCAGGAGCATGCATACGACCCATGTTGATGATTTTGTCTCACGAACGAATCGAGATCTAGAAAGAAAAAAAAACGTATGAATTGTTGATTAAAAATGGACGTGAATGGTTATTTCTTTAAAAGAATAATAAATAAATAATATGGCCCTATTGAATTCGCTTTGGCCTCCGATTAGAAAAAGAAAGGATGAATTTTTGAAAAATTATTATTTTATTTTATTTTTCTATATAAAATAATTAAAAGAAAGAAGTTTTTTTTTGAATAAATTATTTCATTTTTTTTTATTAAGAAAATATCATTGTTAACACTGATTGGATAAGAATTATATCCAATGATGTAATTTCAAAGAATTGTTTGTCAATATTAGTAACAAAAAACAAGGCTTTTGTTCCTTTGAGGAAAAAACAACAGGAAGTTTTATCTATTAATTTTTAGACTATTTTGGAAATAATTTCATTTTTTTAGATTATTTAGAAATATCAATAATTGTTAAAGGTATAGGATTTCAAAGTTTAAGTGACCAATTATTATAAAACAATATAGATTAGAAGCTATTTCCTTTTTTTATGTGATGATATATTTGTGTGTCTCGTTTATAAATATGAAGAAAAAAGGTTGATTTGATTTTGATTTTGATGCTCTTTGAATACACTTATATATATATGTATATTCCCGTGTTTGTTTTTTGATAATATTTACTTTATATACTATAAGCTAATGATTTATACCTGGATAATTGAAGGTTTTTACTGAATGTATTCAATAATATGAATTCTACATTGAATATTTTATTTTATAAACGTTGATTTTTATATACCTCACAAAATAATTCTATTTTATCCTAAATAATAATATCCATTGATGATAAGAAAAACATCAATAGATGTCCTATCTCCTAAAATACCTTTATTCACACATGAATGTTGTCTTACTCAATATTGATTATACTCTGTATTATTAACCCTCTATACCCTATACATATAATTTGATTTAAATATGTGTTTATATAAAAGACAACCCATATATATATATAAAGTTTTGAATAATTGTTTTAATCATATTTGAATTTCCCTTTTGTATTAATACTCCAGAAAGATATGATAAGTTGTACATGTATTTTTATTAGTTAAAAGTTAAAATACTTGTGATTTTTTAACTTATACTTGTATAATATAAGGATTATAGTTTTAAATTTACATAAGATTAGATAGAATTTGTATAGTATAGAATCGTGTGAAATATTTATTAGAATAGGCGAATGTGTTAAATAGGAAAAGTATATTAAATATCTTGTTTTTTGTTTTAGTTTTCGACGTAGTAACTATTCGTCATGTCGTCTCATCATCGCTCCGGTGGTCCTCCTTCGTTGATGGACGATGTGCACGATTTTGTAAGTTTATTACAAATTATTTAACATATATCTTTATTTCTTTATTTATTTAGGATCGTAATTTTCATTCACATCGTTTTGAAGGCGGTAGAGGTGATCATAGTCGAGGTGGTGGTGGTGGAATGAGAGGAAGAGGCGGTGGCGAAGGAGGCGGAATGCGAGGAAGAGGTGGTGGTGACAGAGGTGGAATGCGAGGAAGAGGAGGTGGTGATGGTGGATTTATTCCTCGAGGTGCTGCACGTGGTGGACGTGGAGATTTCCACCAACGTGATCGTTTTAATAATAATAATAATTTTAATCGTCACAATGATGAACAACGTGGTGGTAGTCAATCAAAAGTACCTAGTTTATTTGATGTTGATCAACAACAATCACGATCATTTGATCGTAATGGTAATGGTCATCGTGGTGGTGGTGGTCGAGGACGAATGCCATATCCACGAGGAGGAGGAGGAGGAGGTGGTCGTCGTGATTCATCGGGAGATGATCAAAATCGTCATGGAGGAAGTAAACCAGGTGGAAACGAAGGACCACCTTCATTACTTGATTTTGGAAGTGAAAAATCAGGATTACCACCAAATACCAGTAACAACTCAGTACCTTCACTTTTATCCGTCCAAGTTGACAATTCAGGTAAAAATATGATTGTCTTTCATATAATTATTAATTTAAATTTCATTCTAGCTGTACCATCACCTGGATCCGAACCAAATAAATCAATAGAAACACATAAAGAACATTCTCATGGAGATACTTCAAGTATACGATCAGGTACTTTTATTTTTGTTATTTGACTTAATGAATTAGATATATATATATATATTTAAATAGATCATTCATCTCATCGTGATAATCAAAGTCGATATCGTGATCGAGATTCACACAGATCAGATCGTGGTGGTTTTAGCCGATCATCTTCATTCAACAGGTATATTTGAATTATTTAATAATAGAACATCAAATATAATATATGTAAATATTATTTTAGAGATCGTTCACGTTCACCACGTGATCGAGATCGAGATCGTGATCGTCATCCATCACGAGATGATCGTTCATTTGGCGGTGATCATCGTCGAGGTGGTGGAAGAGGTGGAAGAGGCGGAAGAGGTGGTGGTGGTGATCATTTTGGTCGTGGTGGACGAGGAGGTGGTCATCATAATAGTCCACGAGAACCACATCAATCACGTTTTGGTTCTGATAATAATCAACCACCTTGGCAAGATCGTCGAGAAGGAGGTCGGGGTGGTGGACGAGGTGGTTTTCATGATCGTCAACATGACATTGGTGGTCATCAACGACCTAACGAACAGTTACCACCAGGTAATTAGTTAATTTGTCTTTGAAAAACTTTTTTTTATATAATTATATTTTTAGACAATCATCCATTTAACCGAAATGAACGATCAAATTTTAATGGTGCACCACCTCAAATGCGACCTTTTCAAGAAGGTTTTCAACATGGAAATTTTGATCCAATGGGACCATCTCAACATAATCGACCAGATCTATTACAACCACCAAATTTCAATCAAGGACCACCATCTAATCGTCCAGATTTCTATCCTCCAAATTCTAATAATTCATCTTATCAACAGCATAATACTCGTAGTGGTGGTCGTCCAAGTCGTTTTACTGATCGACAAGATGATTATGATGATGATCAACCATTAACAAAACCAAATTTTTCTCTTCCGAATGCTACAGCAACAACAACACCACTATATATTAATCAACCAACTAATCCAACATTTAGTCAAACACGTCCATCAATGTCATCAACATTTTCTTCTCAACCACCTGCAAATATGTTTCAGCAAGGAGCACCTACTCATAATCAACCACCATCTCAGTTTGGATGGCCTAACCAACAACAGCAGCCACAACAACAACAACAACAAGGTGGACCAAATGCATATATGAATCAAGCACTTGCATCACTCGCTTCAAATGATCAACAGAATTCTAATATGTCAGGATCTCAATCATCTAATAATTTCTATGGTAGTAATAATGATTTTCATCGACAACCACCTCCATCTTCTACAAATCAATTTTATCCAGGAGCTCCTCATCCTTCCCAAACTGGTAGCAAACAATCAAATGTTAATCGTACGTTTATATAATTACAATTTATTTTTTGATAATTATTTTGAATCTTTAGCTCAATCAAACTCGTCTTTAATTCCACCACAACAACAAGCTCCACCTTCTGCTCCAGGTACAAATACAGCAGCAAATGCTAATAACACAGATGCTTGGCAACAGTATTGTCAACAATATTGGTAAATATAAAATATTATTATATGTTTTTATACTAAATATTGATCTTCCTTTGAAGGCAATATATGCAACAACAACAACAAGCAGGTGGTGTTCAACCATCACCTACGCAGACCAATACTCCACAACAATTTCAACAGTCTCAACCAGGTTTATTATATAATTATTTTATACAATATATATATAATCTCATTCTATACAATCATTTCTAGGATCAAAACCGCCAGCCAATTCATCTTCTACTGCTAGCAATACTCAAGATCCTGCTTTAAGTCAAGCAAATGCAAATGCATGGACTCAATACTGGTGAGTGTCATAATAAATCATTTCTATATCTTATACAATTGATCCGTACAAAAAAAAAGGATGCAATGTCAAGTATACATGCAGCAGCAGCAACAACAACAACAACAACAATCCCAAACTTCATCAACGACAAATCCATCCACGATAGCAGCTCCTTCTCAACTTTATTCTCAAACATCAGGAAAACAACAACAGCAACAACAACAACATCAACAAATGCCATCATCCGGCTCCACATCAAATCAGAGTGGAGGATCTGGTGCCTCAGTATCAAACTGGCAAACATGGTTCAATCCAAAAGGATAAAAATAATATATTATTTGTTGTTTTCTTTTTCAGATGGATGAACAATCTCCGCTGAGAAAAAACAATTATACCGATAGAAAATCTTGATTGATTTGTGTATAAAAAAAACTAATGTTTTCTCTTTTTTTTTCTTTTTTCGACACTTGTGCTTTATGCCTAATTGTATTGTTGTCACTGTTTGATTTTCTTCTCTTTCGTTCTTTTCTACATATATGTTTGTGCACTTTTTTTTTGTTTGTCTCTATATAAATAAGTCTAAAACAACAAAACAGACAAGTTCAATGGTGATAATTACAATTTGTTTACATATTCGTGTCTCTTTTTTTGCAGAATTTATTATGGAAATTGAACCTATAATTATTCCAATTGAAGAAACTAAGATAGAAGTTCAACCAAAACAACAACCACAAGATGTAGATGATGATGTAGAAAGTGATGATTATGATCAAATTTTTCAATCAGCTGAATTTGGTCGTTGGAGAAAAAATTCTCCTTATTTATATAATATGTTATTTTATGAATTACTTGAATGTCCATCACCAACTGTACAATGGCTTGATTATCATACAGTTAAAGGTGATCCAAAATGTGATTATTATCGTTTACTTATTGGTACACAAGGTGGACGTACACCAACTGATTCTCGCAATGAATTAACGGGTATATAAATATATGAGAAAATAGAATTTATTCCATTATTACTCAATTATTTTTTTAGTTGTCGAAGTACGTCTTCCAATGCTTGAATACGACTTTTCTAAACAACCCGATCAAGGATTTGATGAATTAACTGGAGAACATGGTGGATATGAAATGGGTGTTCGTGGATCAAGTACGAAAAATTTTTATTTTCTAAAACATTTTTTTATTTTTTGATCTTTAAAATGTTTTTAGTGCATCCATATGTACCTATGTATCATGCGGGTGATGTAAATAAAGCACGTGCTATGCCTCAAAATACATTTAAAATTGCAAGTTTTTCATCGACAAATGATATTTTCTTATTTGATTACAGTAAACATCCAAGTAAATTAAATCCTGATGGAATTTGTCGACCACAAGCTATATTACGTGGACATACAGATGAAGGCTTTGCATTATCATGGCATCCAATGCAACAAGGCTTATTATTAAGTGGTGCTCAAGATGGTAAAATGTGTTTATGGAATTTAGAAAAAATGCCAAATAGTTCAGCGGCAACAGCAATAACAACGACAACAACAGTTACTAATGGAATTGAATGTAATACAATAATTGATCCAGTTGAAGTATTTAATTCAGAAAGAAAACTTGTTGATGCTGTTCATTGGCATCCAAGGTAAAGAAATAAATTGATTATGTATATAAAATTGCAAACGATTTTCTTTTTAGTCATCCATCTGTATTTGGTGCAGCTGCTGGTTCAGGTACTCTACTTATAACTGATCTTCGTGCATCATCAGGTACTGCTGCACTTGTTGAATCATTATTTCCATCAACATCATCATCATCAAAATGTCTTCAATTTCGTGTTAAAGTTCATACAGCTGATTGTAATTGTTTAGCTTTTCATCCAGTTAATGAATATGCTATATTAACTGGTTCAGATGATGCATCTATTGCTCTATGGGATATGAGAAATTTATCAAAAGAAATTCGACGGTATGAACAAGCTCATCGTGATGGTGTACTTCAAGTAGCATGGAGTCCAATATCGCCAAGTATATTTGCATCGAGTAGTGCTGATCAACATGTTTTTGTTTGGGATCTTAATTCAAACGATGGAGTTATATTTGATCATAAAGGACATGATTCTCGTATACCAGATATAAGTTGGCATCCAACACGTCCTATAATTGCATCAGTTGCTGAAGATTCATCATTTCAGATATGGGAAGCAAATGCTGTTGAAAATGTTATTAATAGTATTTAACTAATATCAGATATATATTTTGTAATTGTCTTTCTGTTTATTTTTCTTTGTATATTCAAATGTAACTTTAATGACGACTGTTAAAAAAGCCGGTCTTATTATTTGATTGTCTGTTGAGGAAATTGTATTTGTTCTACTAGTCAAAATATATGTTCTCTTTTGAATAATATGTGAAGGAATATGACTATAATTTTGTTTATAAATTAAAAACATATATTGAATAGATACATTTAATCATACAAATCTTCTAAATGAAATCAATTAAATTTAGTTTTAAAACATCTCTCAAATCTACTACTGAATCTCTTTGTTTCGATAGGCGTATATCTATAAAATCTACGTAATTTTTAGTCAATATGTAATTAGTCATTGTTGATATTGATGACTGTTCGAAAAAAGAATCGTTATGGCTTATGTTTGCATTAATTTCAAATAAAAAGGTAAACAGATGTATGATTTATTGTAAACATGTATTTTTTTCGTTAGAATATTACAGTCATAATATACAATATAAATTAATATATGATTTGTTTTTTTTTCCAATCATTTTTCTTTGTAATTTTCAAATAAATACGTATAATTATAAATTTAATGTTTGTCTAGGTAATGATTTATATTTATTTTTCCTAGAGAATTGGTTTATCGATCTTTATAGTTAAAAATCAAAACTTTTATGGAAAAAAGTATGCTTAAATATCATTGTTTTGATTCTTTCAGTGTAACACAATGCTTTACTTTGTTTTTGTCAGAAATGTTCGTTTGTCCACTATTTGTTGAGTATATAGGCTAATTGACTGAAACCAACATAGATAGCAATATAAACAAACGCAAATGTACTATTATTTGTTGTATGTTTTCTATTCGGTTTTCATGTGTCTATCGAATAAATAATATTGCCAGGAAAATATATTGATTTCAGTAATGGTTCCGGTTTGCTATAATATTCATGTAAACATGAAACAATTATAAATAGTGTCATCATCACCCGAAAAACGATACGCAATAAATAATAACGAAAACAAAAATATTGAAAGAATATTTTGCTGGATGATTTCGAACAATAAAAATGTATGCAAAAGTCACCGGAGAGGATCTCTATTTTGGTTATTCAGAAAGGTAAGTAAACTAAAGTTTATATTTTATGTATATTTCTACTGTGAAGATCATTGAAAATAGAGGATATATACACTTCCTTTCAATATTGTCTGTACCTCTACTATAGAAAGAGATACTCATTGCAATGCTTTTTCTGTACTTAGGTATGTGGCATGACTGTTTGAGAATATATCGGGTACTCATAGTTAAATCGATTGTCGACAGTATACTTTGAAGTGAGAAATGGACAGAATATCTCGCTTAGCTATTTGATTGAAGTATAAGTTATTAGCTGTCAGATAAAACAAAAAGATTAAAGGGCAAGGTAATAAATATACAGAAAACTACAACATATATGAAGGTAGCCTTTTGTTTTTATTTGTCTACCTTATTATTGATGTTTTTGTGTTTATTTACAAGTAGATAGATTATGAAAAATATGCTTACAAATAGGGTCTTGTACATAAACAAATGATTTTTGTGTTCATTCATACGTGAATTTATGGTTGTAAACAAATAACCCTTATATTTACATTGCGTTACTTGAAATACCGTTTTAAAGTTTATTTTTACATCTTAGTCATGTCTTTTTTTGTTACAATACAATGAATTTCGATTTGAAATTGTGAGTATTCTTTGTTATCAACAAATAATATCATAGACGTCAGAGTGCGGAGGATCATGAGGTTTGAGCCATATTTAGATTCCAGACGCTTCGCTGTCTCTGAATAATATGGTTTTTCAAGTACTATGTCAAGACATGAATAGAAAATAATAAACTGGCTTTGTTATCTCCTAATCGATTTTTAATACAGGAAACTCAGTTCAACGATCATTAGCATTTTTCATAGCATGAAAATCGAATAAATAGAAACATATTCTAAGTTTTAGTAGTTTCTTCAGGACAATAGTTTTTTTCTCTACTTCTGTTCTTTAATTTTAATTAACAGATATCATTATAGATTAGATTTAAGTTTAAACTACTTCATAAGAAGAAATTTTCTGCGTTTAATACAGAGAAGTCATCATATCTCTTCCTCTTGGATACTATCCAATCCCATTTTGATTTGCTCTTAATTTTCATATCGATAATATTTGATATCACAACAAGAACACCGTTAGACATATATATCTATTCGTTACAAAGAAATTTAAGTTAATTAGAAATAGGAAATTACTTACGAAATATTGTCATCTATATGAATCCTACCAATCATATATACGAAATGAAAATAAATATCACACTTTCCTATTCTTTTTTTTTAATTACAGAAAGAAAAATAATAAAAAAAAGGCATGACTTTATAATTTATTTCTATGTACTATTTAGTTTTTTTAACAAACATAACATTAATATACTGCAAACTCATAACATATTCAATTAAGATAAGTTTTAGTTAAAATCTATTCGTAAATTGACTGTAATCAGTAGTATAGAAAGAAAGGTAGATAAAATTTCGAATCTCTTATTTATTAGAATCGCAAAATAATAAACAATTCGTATAGTGACTATATATGACAATTCAACATAATTATCGTCCTTTTTTTTCTGTACGATCATTTCCTAATGAATGTACCAATTATATCCAATTTGTGTCTGTTTTGCATGATACTCCTCATTGGATGTATAGACGCTACGCATAAAAGAGATGATAATATCTGATAACATGATAATCAAAAATAAATCATACTTTATACGTCAAATAAATGAATAGCGTTACTGTATACTAAAAAATTTAGTGAGTCATTCATAGTTGCGTTTTTCTTTTCTATTCATTAAGCACTAATCACGTATTTTTAATGTATCATATTCGTTAATACGTAAATATCGTTTTGTAAACGGAAAAAAGCATTTTGTATGTATAGGTTCATTATATTATATGTATATTTTTCTCATTACACGTATGAGAAAAAGAAACATGATCGCAAAGGTGAATCGGAAAGGAGCCATTAATGTTTCGCTTGAATGAATATACGTTTGGTTTATTTGCATTTGCTGTATTTTTTTCTATAGAATAAGTACGGGCGAATAAATATGTTAGAAACAATCTATGAAGTTGATGAAGAAATTCATACCAATGAAGATTCTTCAAAATCTTCTAATACGTATGTATCTATAAAATAATCAAAAAAATATTATAAATAAATTTGTTTTTTTATTATTAGGCAATCACAATTGTCGGTATATATGTGTTGGTGTATGCTTACTGGTTGTTTTATAATACTTACATTTATTATCATGATTTCTTTAAATCCTCAATATTTAGTAAATAACTCAACTAATAATAATACACGTAAGATTAATTTAAATTTATGAAAAATTTATATTAAATTATGAAATTTAGTTGAGAAAATCAATAGTTCATTTCATTCGGAAGAAAAATTCGAAATATCATCGGAAATTATTAACTATCTTAGTATCTTTTCGCATCAGGTAATATCAGATTTAATCATTCCAATTAATGATTTATTATTTCATTTATCTAATAGATTAATAAACAACTTGACCTTCAATTAAATCCCGTTATATTTTTAACATTGCCTATTTCAAATTTATCATTAGATGAATTTGTTGAGCAAGATAAATTACTTTGGGTTTATGGATATTTAAATTATTCTCAATCGTGTACGGATAATAATAAAAATAAGAATTGTAAAGAAATTTATTTTTCGAAATTTAAAACAATTTTTATGAAATTATCCAATTTCATAAATACAATCAAATTAAATACTCTTCAAAATAAACGAATCCAGTATGATTGGTGTAATCTAAGAGGTATATATATATATATATATATTAAATATTCCAGCATTGTATTTTTTTTTTGTATTAGAAAATTCCAAAACTGTAACATTCGCATCAGTAGTATCGATAACTACTATCGGTAAAAATGTAACTGAAACACCTACGTCATTCGATCATTCTATCTGTGGTAAAAATTTTTTATTTATTTTGCAATACAATTGAGTTTATTATTTATAGATGATCCAAATCAAAATATTCTTCTAGCAAAATCCTTTGAATATCTAATGTCTCATGGTAAATTTAATTTTGTTAATTAATATTTAAAGTTTTTTTCCCTCTTATTTTAGAAGATTTAATAATAATCAATTCAGGTTCCAACAATTCCGATAATCAACAAGTATCATCTACGTCTGGTAAGTACATGAGTGTAATATACCTTAGAATATTCTATTTCATTTATTTAATAGATCCTAATTCTAATAATAACATTACCGATGAACAAATAGCATATATTACTCCATCAGACTGTGTAAAATCTAGTGGCGACGATAATAATCAAAATAAGGACACTACTTATTGTCCAAATGATACCGGTTCACAATATCATCTTATGTGGAATTCATATTAATCAGGACATATCATATTTCTCAGTTTTTTTTCTATCTTAGTTAGCTTAAATTCTATTATTCAGTGACATAAACAAAGTATATTTCTTATATTCTAAATTGACGCAGAATTAAAATACCTTCTATTCTAACAGTAATTCTTTCTTCACAGTTAAATGTTGTTTTTCTTCTCCATTTACAGTCATTTCTAATTTATTCAGTTTTTTTTTGCATGTTAAATTGATTCGATGTACTCTGCATTCAAAATAAATATATATGAGTTCTATCAGTTGCATCAAAGAGGTAGAAATAAATATACATGATACATTAATTGCTATTATAGCAAGTTTGTATATTTTTGCTTACGAAATTTGAAAATCGAGAATAATTATTAAATATCACTCAAAAAATTTCTAAGACAAACTTTAATTTTATAAAAGAGTTGATATTTATAATAGATCAAATCCATATATCGAAACTATTTCCATTAAAAATACCAGTTAATGTTTTATTAATAGTATTGCGCATTCGATTTATTTCATCAGATTATTATAAAATGAATGTAATTTATGAATCATCACTTTTTATTGAGTTCGAAAAAAATAAATGATAATGATATTAGTTATAAACGACTTACAGTATTAGTATGTGTGATGATCATGCTAGAAATATTAGTTATCAAAAAAAAAGAATTGATGGGACTGTATATAATGTCAAAAACTTGAAAACTGAATTTATTCTATAAGGTATATATAAAGTGTAGTTTAGCATAAAAGAATTAAGGGGTAACTCTTTTGATTTATATAGATAAGCATAAGCTAATAGAAACTTGTACGCAGTGCTAGTATCACTGAATTCGCAAAGAATAGAATGATGAGTCAATAATCGAATCAGAGAAGTCACATGCACTGTTGAATTGGAGAAGAGAAAGACGAAAGTTATAAGATTTTTCACATAATGTCCCCAGGCAATATTTTTGATTTTTAAAAAGAAGGTGACATATCCTCAATTACCGACTGTAACAGCACGATAGATTCTAGGAAAGTATTCTGTAGAATTCTTTTTCATCCTTATGAAAATATTTTATTAAATTTAGTACTGATATTTTCCTTTTACTGAATATATCAATTAAGTACAATTTGGATGTCATTGTGATTAGTAATTAAGCTTTTTTATCAGATAATATGATTTATTTTTAATCATAAATATTAAAATTTAACTTTGTTTCGACATATATCTATAATTGTCAATTAAAAATTTCGCTTGACTTATATCCCAACCCATGACTTTTGCTTTCGATAAGAAATCTTGATAGAGAGGAACTATTGCTGTTTGTAATTTATCGACATTTATCCAACAGATATTCGATGACATAACTAAGTATTGATCGAAATGATGTAGATCAGTAAGATATTGAAGAATAAAATAACATTTTATTAAATCTGTATCATCACAATTATCAGTTAAACAGACATTGAATTGTTTTGAAAGTCGACTGTATAAAATAGCAAAATGATTTTGACTAAATTGATTAAGATCAATCGATTGAGCTTGACTTTCATTTAATCGAATACCAGCATAACATGATATTGGTCGATGAATTTCTCTAAGAACTGGTTCCTTTCGATTAATATATTCCACAGTTTGAATTTCTTTTGTAAGAAAATAATTTTCACATAATAATACAAAACGATTCCAATTAAATGTACGTAATTTTAATGTACGAATTGCTTTATAATTAGCATATAAATGAAGTGTTGTTAATATAAAATAAAGACACCATACTAACATTCGATCACGTTTAATTGTATGTAATAAAACTATATTAACAAATAATGCTAAAAGATTGACAAGTGTTTCTTGAGAACCATCTTTCGCAGATACATCACCCATATTATGAGCTATTGCTTGATGTTGTGTTAATGCAGCTCGTGTTGATCCACCAGCTACTCCAACAATAGAACGACATAAATTAGATAAACAACTCAGAGGTAATAAGAACTGTTTAAAAAATGGAGCAATTAAATCGATGGATGTAGCTAAATCATTAAGAATATCTGCATAGAATCTCCACATTTTCAAATTACTATCGAGGCCTTTAAAAATATAAAATATTTTGCACATTTAAAAATATAGATGGGATATAACCTGTGCCATGAAACCAAGCAAACATTATTCTTCCTAACATTCCAACCCCATCTTTAATTAACCAAACAAATGTCGCTGAAAGAATCGATGCTTTTTCATCACCAACACCCAGTCCTTCTAAGATAGCACTAAATGCTAAAGCATTTGTAATCGATGATGCAAATGCTTGAATAGTATCCCTAATAAACAAAATTTTTATTTAGTCTAATAGAAATCAAAAATATAAATTCACCATATTTGATAAGCGAGATAATCATTCGATACTGTATTTGGATAGCCAGTAGGTAAAAAAATTTCTTTAAAAATCGAAAGAAACCATGAGAATAAAGTTAGTTTTTGATGTTTGTTAGTTTTTATTGAATCTGATGATGCATGATGGATTCCTTTTGATGTCGAATAAATTCTACCTGTCAATTGACCACTTTGAATCTCGCATAAAGACATTTTAATCTGTAAAAGCAAGACACAAATGCAAAAATACATTCGTTATTACTAACCAATCATCTATTGGTGAGTATTCTATTAAGATATTGTCGCTTTCTATCGGTATAGAACACTTTTTATTCAAAAAACAAAATAACAAGAATTTATAAATCTACCAAGTGAAAACAAATGATGAATGACGACTAAGTCCATACACCATCATACCAAAACCAGCAACTGAACTAACGGTTCGAACAAAATGAAGAAATGCCCATTTATCAAGTAATTCTTTTTTCTTTGCAAAATTAATATGACTTTCATTTCCTAGTTTAACATTTTTATTATCATCAATAATTGTTTGATTTGTTGGAGCTAGACAAATAATTGTATATGGAATTATTGCAAGAAATGTTGTTCCAGCTGCAATCCATAAATAACGAAAAAATGGTGCACCATGAATACGTGTTGCATGTACAATACTAGTTGTACCAGCAATTGCAGCTAAACTAGCTTGTGTTAAAGCTATTTTTTTATACATATATGGAAAAAATCTCCAATGTTCATTAAGACCAAATTCACGCATAGCAGGTACTTGACCAATGGATAAATAGAGAGCTGTACCAGCAAAAAGTCCGCCGGTAACAACAGCAATTGTATCGAAATGATTCAGAATTGATGTTGATGTTATGGACATGATGAAATATATGTATATATCTTTAAATGACAAATGAATTTTTATTACAAACAAAAACAAACTAAACATAAAACACACACATATATATTATATCAGAAACAAAAACAAAAATGGTTTTATACATCATCGAATGAAAAGAAAAAATAGCGATAATGATAGGTGAAATGAACTGACTAATCACATATGACTAAATCAATCGTTCTTCAGGTGGTGGTTTTAAAATCATACTAAATTCCATACGTGAACTTTGACCATTTTCATTTATTGCTGGTCTATATGTACCACGTAATCGACGATTTTTACGTATACGTCCCATAACAACAGTTAATAGAATAATAATCATTAATAAAAATATGGCGATACCAGGCCATATAACATAATGATAAGAAAAATTAAGTGAACTGAAGAGTTTTTCTTTACTTTCACAAGAATGTCCTAGGAAATTCTTTGGACATGCGCAAATATATCCATCTATTTGATTAATACAAGTTCCATTATTTCGACATGGACTACTAACACATTCATCAATTTCTGTACTACACCTATCATCTTCATAACCTATTTGAAAAAAAATAAAAATATTAAATTTAAAAGAGAAGATCTTAATCAATCTTTACCTGTTCCAGTACAATTACATAAAAATCCTTCATCAATATCAGGCATACATGTTCCATTATGTTGACATGGTAGTGATTCACATGTTAAAAAATCACAATTTAAACCTGTAAAATTTGTTAAACATTCACAATAATAATGTTCACCATCAGTTTTACATTGTCCATGATTGAGACAAGGTGTTTGTTCTAAACAAATATGTTTTTTTTCACAATTTTTCCCTAAATAATTTTCATGACATTGACATTCATAATCACCAGGATAATTTACACATGTTCCATTATTTAAACAAATATTTGTTTGATTAATTTCACATTCATTTATATCATATTGACATTCATTACCATACCATTGTTGAGAACATAAACATTTTGCTTGTCCATTGGATAATCGTTGACATGTACTATTATTTTGACAATGTAATTTTAAACATAAATCATTTTCACACCATTCACCATCAAAACCATTTTGACATTGACATTCACTTTTAGGATTATCAACATAAAGATGAGCACTTTTTAATATACATGTACCATTATTTTTACAACGATTTAAACGACCAAAACATGTATTATTAATTGATAGTGAACAATGAGAATTTATATATTCCGATGTACATTGACATGTGTAACTATTGATTTGATCAATACAAGTACCATTATTATTACAGGGTGATGATGCGCATTCATCAATATTTGTTTCACAACTGATAATAAAGAAAAAAAA